CTGAAAAGGAGCGTCTCGGTTGTAGCGTGGTGTGTGCGTGTGTGGGAGGGCTGTGCTCTCCCGGCACTGAGGTGCGCTTAGGGGTGCGCCTAAGTGTGCTCCCCTGGGCCCTTGGCACCACTCTTCTGTAATATTCCTGGCTGTTTGTCTGTCTGTCTGTTTTGTTTTTGTTGTTTGAAAGGGAAGCATCAGAGTGAGTGCCCCCCCCCTCCCCTGCGCATGAAGGTCCCTGATTGACTATATTTATCTATACATATAAAGGGGACACTGTCAACTTCCTTACCTTGCTGGCTTCAGGGCAGAGAGGTTTTGGCAGTCGCCGTCAATCCCTTACAAGACTATTCCACACTTGGGGAGGAGGCCTCTGCAAGAATTGCTGTAGGTCTGTAGAGAGCAGGTCTCACTGGCAATCACCTTCTATACTTCTCAGAGCAGAAATACAATTTGCTGCCATGCCGGCCAGCCTGGTTCAGAGAGCAAAGCACAGAATGCAAATGAGCTGAAATGCTTTCTCCAAACACTAGTTTGCTGCCTCCTGTTATTGATACTGCATCAATAGCCAAGGAGGATGGTGGGGAGCATCTGCCTACAAGGTGCATGGATGGAGGAGAGCCACACCGCAGAAAGCACACTTCCATTCCCTTTGACAGTGTCCCCTTTACATTTTCTGTAGTTCTCTGCTTTCTATGTGCTTGGGCCCCTGCCATTAAGCCATCCCTGTGCTGAAGATCTGCATCGGTGCTGAAAGGGCTACTGCCTGTGCGACTTCCCACGATAGGGGGAGTACCCCAACTTAAAAAGAGAACCAAAATTAGTATTTATTTGCAACTGCTCCCGCTACCCTGCTCAGCAAATTTCCCTCCTGCCCCTGGTCTGCGAGACCATTTTGCTCGTACCACCTGGCCCTTACCTTGTCTCACACGCTCTGCGGGAAAACATTAGGGAGAAAAAGAACAACTTTCCTTTCCTTCACTAGGATATTTACATGACTGCATCTATATAGCAACAGCCCTCACTGTGGATATTTACATGACTGCGTCTGTATAGCAACAAGGCCTTTCAAAGTCCGGGAGAGATTAGGAAGGGTGGCGGGGACCAAAAAAGAAAAACGAAAAAAGGGACCGTCAGTGGGTGGCAGGATAGATCTGGAGGGATGTCCACAGTGTGAGGCATCAGACTGGTATCTCTCATAAGCTGGATAGCAAAGCATTTGCTCTGTAAGCAAGTCAGGTGGTAAAGCTGCATTAAAAAGACAATATGCATTTTCACTTGTTCCGGGGGACAATTCCGGACTCCCATTAGCAGCCAAGTGAGGAAGAGGGGCAGCAGAGGCTGTGCTGTGCGGTGTACCAAATGCCGCTGTGACTGGTTGGGATGCCGGGTGCTTGTTTGAATGTTTAATAAATGCTTTCTCATCTTACCCAGCCAGGTAGATTAGGTGACATGCGAGGCCCTCTATCTCCACCTTGTTCAACACCAGGATTTTTCCACCTTCTGAATGGCAGGAGGGAGTCAGCTGCATATTCCCCTTATGCAAACGGTGCAGTTCTAGCTCGTCCCTTGTGTCTAGCTCCAATGGGTGCTGAAAGAGCAGGGGACATAAGGGTGAGTAACTGGTCTTCCTATCTCTGTACCAGAAACTCTCATCCGCACAGCTGGGTGACAAAGTGGAGTCTAAGGAAAACCCTCACGAGCCTGTGCATTCCAATTAGGGAAAGGTAATGTACGTAGAAGTAACCCGCTGATTTCTCCCAGCCTGCCTACGATTTTTGTGACCAAGTGCTAAACACAACACGTCCCGCAGAAGAAGACTCAGATTTGAAGGAGTGCGGATGAAGAGAGGTTGTGAAAAAGACATGCAACTAGAGAGTAATGTGTATTTATGACTATTTATTTAATTTAATGCTGCTGACTACTGTACCGCTCCCTGACTTTTTCCCAGGGAGGCTGCTGAAATGGCTACTGTACAATGAAACTGAGGTGCTAGTGCCTGGGAAGGGCATTCTGCCGCTCATCTCGGGACAGGAGGGCCCTGACTCCCCGCTGTGACTTGCCACACTGGCCGAGTGTCCCGTTTCCCCATTAGTCACTCTCACAATTACTAAGCACAGAAAAATCCCCTGCTGCCCACCTTCTGCTTTTCTAGAATTTAATTCCAAGCACCAAGAAAAAAGACCAAGAGGAAGCCCTGTGCTTGCCACCTTGCCCACGCCAGAAAAGGCGGCGGCCACATCTTGAGAGAGAAGCCTGGAACATGGGGTCTCTGCCACCTGGCTGGGAGGGTTTTGTACATAGATGGACGCAACCCATCGAGAGGCAGAGAAACCCACCTGTCCGAGAGGGTTGAAAATAAATGCTAGTGATCAGAGTTGGTTTCTTACCAATTTCACGTTCTCTAGCTAGTTACGGAGGCAAGAAATCCATTCACTCATCCATGCATCCTTCTTCCTCTACAGCATTCTTCCAGATTGCCGTTGCGTTGGGTTCGGGATGTTCCCACTGACACGGCTTCCTCGGGCTTGGCCCTCGAGACAGAATTGCACAAGCTCTGTTAAGTTAACGCAAGGCCATGCAGAGGCAGCTATAACAATCTCAAGCACTAATATTCATTCTGCCCGCACATTACTTTAAACTGGGTTTAACATGTTTGACATATATCCTGACACACAGCTACGTTGAATCCTTCAATAAAGAGCATAAGGGTGGTGGTCACCAGACAGAACCTTGTACATGCAGCACCCGTCAGACTGAGGAAGGTTTTTCTTTGAGGCCTTAGGTTTCTTTTTCTCAGATTCCTAGTTATTTCTTTTTGCCACTTGGCGGCAAGTCTGGCTTGGAGTTGGATAGGATTCACGATCTTTTATTGCCTCTTAATTTATCACAGTAGTAATAAAAGAGAAAAAAGCAAGGTCTTTTTCTGCAGGCAAAACCCACAATGGTACTAAAGGTGAGGGCTTAAAACCTAGGCGTGTTTTCACCTAGATGCCTTCCTCTAGACGGCTACGGTAGGAATCACATGCTACTGCAGTTGAGTCCCAATCGACAGATTAATTCCTTTTGCAGCCATAGACAATTTTGGACCCGTCAGTTGATGATTACATTTCCTAGAGAAATTAGCAACGCTTTCTAGGAGCAAGGCTGAGCAACCTGAATAATGTTACAGGGGGTGGTACTTCTGCCATCCCTAAGCAGTCACAGCCAAGTCGTAGCTTGGCTTCCATTGTCAGGTTTTGCTTCTTTACTTGCTTGCCTTGCTTAACCTGTGCCAGAAATCCCACGTCAATGGTAGTTTTCTTTATAGCGCCTCGCAGACGCATTTCCCCGCCAAGTCCTCCCTCTGACCCTTCTGCCGCTGGTAATCTGCCAGGTGAGCGCAGCTGGGTTTTCATTTGCAGAATGTGAACAACTACAAAAGAGAGATTTTTAAAAAAGCATTTCTCCAGCCAAACGTGCAAACTAATGCCAACAGCTAGTAGCCTAATTCTTGCCAAGTAAGATGCTACCTATTGGGAGGAGGGAGAAGAAGGGACAGAAGGCTCTGATTTGCCAGTTTGTGTGTATCACCTGTTCATACGGGAGAAGAATATACTCGCTAATCCTAGCTTGATACAATCTCGCTTCTGATAACCACGTGCCTTCTAATGCTTACCTTAAAAGAGGTGTTTGGGTTATGCCATCTGGGACGAGCTCAAAGTGAATTTGAGACCTGGATTACTGCTATGCAATCATGTGTTCATAAAGTAGATACCAAATGTATCTAGTGCAGCACCTGCGCGTAAAGTCTACGAAGGATCAAAAGACACAGGTTATTTCAGGTGGTAAGATCAGAAGCGTGTGCCCAAGACAGGGGCATTGCTGAGTCTGCACGTTCCACTTAAAAGAGAGAAAGGTACCTGCAATGGTAAAAATAGGAGCTTACCTATGAATTAACCGGACAACCGTGCTTTTTGGATGCTCAACAATTAACCGATAATCCAAGGCACGCTTCAGTCAGAAAACTTTGATATTAATTCATCTTAGCTGATAATTCTCCATAAATCCTTTCTGGCTCCCTTAAGTCCTTTGGGAGGAGAGAAGAAAGTCACACAACTTTGATCTCCCCTAACATATATCTCAGTTATGCTGCTGACACAGAGTGTGCATTTACACACAGCTTACAGGCTGCTGTACCAGTCTGGGGCAGCAGTCTGCCATTTGACCACCTGACCCCACTTGTCTGCTTTAGCTCTAATAGAGGGAGACCTAAGAGATATGCAGCATGGCTTTATTACAAATATGACCCTGTTTTGAAAGAGGCAAGGTTTCAAAGCACAGTGCTTTGCTGGATTTAAAGCCCCGGCACAAAACCACCTCTGAAATCATGATGCCTGCGTTGCTGTATCCCCTCTCAGAAAGCCTGGCATGCTTAATCTGTGTTCTTAAGAGACAGACCCCGTTAGTTTCAGAAGCTCACCTGGGTGTAGATGGAGACAGACTTTTTAGCCTACTTGTCTCCTCAGCACTAAACCGCATAGCCTACCTACATATATGCTTTTTCCTACCTTTACACAAGAAGGTAGAAATTTGTTTTCCAAATAGCGGCTGGAGACACTTTTGGTCTGGGTACTTGAAACGAGACCTTTTGGATATGCTCTACAGTCATTTCTCTGCAGATATAAAGGCAACAGGAAAGCGCCTGCGATACACCAAGGCTGAGTGAAAGACACACTTGCAAACCTCACGTTTTGGCTTTCTGCATGTCAGAAGTGCTAACCAGAAGGGTGTGCATACATGCAGGTTTTGGTGAATACAGTACTTGTGTGTCACGTGGCTTTAATGCCTCTTCCCTTTCCTGGTAAGCTTTGCCTTCTCAGTCATGTGTTTCCATCCTCTTGAAGTGATCCTAAGGCACCTAAATAGAGGAGACAGACAGAGAGGACAGCCTGCAGCTTTCACA